AAAAACATTTCTTGTCGAACATTGCTTCTACACTGTTGCGGAGTTCTTGGAATTTAATATCTAGATTTTATAATTATTAATGTATTATGACTTCAAATGTACAGATAATAATGTATGTATAGGTGGTCAATAAATGTATTCTATTCTATTATTATTATTATTATTATTATGATTATTATTATTATGATTATTATTATTATTATTATTATTATTATTATTATTATTATTATTATTATTATTATTATTATTATTATTATTATTATGATTATTATTATTATTATTATTATTATTATTATTATTATTATGATTATTATTATTATTATTATTATTATTATTATTATTATTATTATTATTATTATTATTATTATTATTATTATTATTATTATTATTATTATTATTATTATTATTATTATTATTATTATTATTATTATTATTATTATTATTATTATTATTATTATTATTATTATTATTATTATTATTATTATTATTATTATTATTATTATTATTATTATTATTATTATTATTATTATTATTATTATTATTATTATTATTATTATTATTATTATTATTATTATTATTATTATTATTATTATTATTATTATTATTATTATTATTATTATTATTATTATTATTATTATTATTATTATTATTATTATTATTATTATTATTATTATTATTATTATTATTATTATTATTATTATTATTATTATTATTATTATTATTATTATTATTATTATTATTATTATTATTATTATTATTATTATTATTATTATTATTATTATTATTATTATTATTATTATTATTATTATTATTATTATTATTATTATTATTATTATTATTATTATTATTATTATTATTATTATTATTATTATTATTATTATTATTATTATTATTATTATTATTATTATTATTATTATTATTATTATTATTATTATTATTATTATTATTATTATTATTATTATTATTATTATTATTATTATTATTATTATTATTATTAATTATTATTATTATTATTATTATTATTTTTTTTTTTTTTTTTTTTTGCGGCATCGACTGCTAAGGTCATTCGCCGCGTTACGCGTTTTTAAATGCGGTTAAATAGTTGAACATCGCTTAAGAAGGTAAGTGTACATTTAATGGATTTTTCATCATTTAACGCATATTTTATTTCAGGGTTCACTCCTGGGCATGTAAATAAATGTTCTATCAGAAGGCGGGCATTACAGTGTTCACATCTAGGTCTTGGATTTCCTCCTAGGAGATATGAATGTGTGAGGTGAGAATGTCCTATCCTTAGTCTACAGGTTACAACTTGTTCTCGCCTAGACAAACAACTAGGGTAAGTCCATTTCTTAATATTAGGTTTGATGTTAGCCAAATGGCCAACATATGTTGTCCATCGCTCTTGCCATGTCAATTGTACTTTGTGTTTTATATATGATTTTAGATCTTCTAACGGAATTGGGATACCATCGTCAAATGGAGAGCCTGATGCTACCTTTGCAGAGTTGTCAGCTATTTCATTACCACGGATTTGGCAATGGCCAGGGACCCATAGAATTGTGCAGGTTTTACCTAATGAGGTAAGATGAGTATTTAATTCTAATATTCGACGACAAAGAATATCTTTTGTAAATATATTTTCCATTGATGTGATAGAGCTTAGCGAATCAGAACAGATTAGGCAGTTCTGATATTGCGTCGATGAGAAGTATAGGAGGGCTTGCCAAATAGCATATATTTCTGCAGTAAATATTGAGCATGCAGGGTTTAATGACCAACTGTATTGGTCACCGTTTACCGCAAAAGCTGAACCAACTCCAATGTCACTCTTCGACCCGTCAGTGTATATTATCAAACTGTTTGGATAAGACTCTAACTCTTTATTAAAGAGCATTCTATAAGTAGAGGGTGGTGTTTCGTCCTTTTTCCAATAAGTTAGGCGTTTATTTAACTTTGGGGGGGATACATTCCATGGAGGGATCTGTGGAGGATGATCAGAAAGAATGTTCTCTTGACATATTGAATACTTTCGGCACGTTTCATTATTGCGAATTCTTGCAGGTCGTGTTGTGGATCTCCTTGTTGAGAATTCATTGTCAGAACAGAAGTTGGTTAGAGCCATATATCATAGTTTGTGAATCCCTTCTAAGGTCTAAAGGGAGTATTGTCGCATCACATTGGACTGCTACCGTAGGACTAGTTCTAAAAGCGCCCGTTGCGTATCTTAAAGCTGATAACTGTATTTTATCAAGCTGTCTAATTTTAAAAGGGCGACAAGAATTATATACTACTGCGCCGTAATCAATCCGACTTTGTATTACAGATTGGTAAAGCATTATTAATATATTTCTATCTGCGCCCCACTTAATACTAGCCATGCATTTAATTATGTTAAGAGCCCTTTGGCACTTAGCTACTAGCTGATCAATTTGTTTTGTCCATATTAGTTTGCTATCAAATACTAAACCTAAAATCTTCATGTTATTCTTTACATTGATAGGGTGGCCATTAATAAGAAGCTCGGGATTTGCATGGTCCAGTCTTTGTCTACAAAAGTGTACGCAATTAGTTTTTTCTTGTGAGAAGCTGAAGCCTCGAGATATTGCTAATTGATAAATGTCACTTATTTTTCTATTCATTGTTTGATTTAAAATTGCCATCGATTTATGTCTCTGGAGAATTATCAAGTCATCAACATACAAAACTTTCTTTACCATCGTTTCGGACTTCTCAACCAGAAAATTTATTGCAATTGCAAATAGGGAAACGCTTAACACAGAGCCCTGTGGAATTCCATTCTCAAGCTCTCTTATTGCAGATTCTTCGCCTCCTACTCTCACCTTGAAATACCTATCTCTTAGGAAGCTTTGAAGTATCATTGGGAGTTTCCCTCTGAGGCCCCATTGGTGTAATTGCCTTAGAATGGAATATCTCCAAGTTCTATCATATGCCTTCTCTAGATCAAAGCTGACTGCTATAAGGTGTTCTCTATTGAAAAATGACTCTTGGATTTCATTTTCAATGTATGTTAGAGCATCCAGTGTAGAATGGCCACTACGACAGCCAGTTTGAGCTGCAGACAACAAGTTATTCGCTTCCATCCACCAAGTAAGTCTGGTATTGACCATTTTTTCAAATATTTTTCCCAAGCAGCTGGTAAGAGATATTGGTCGGTAATTGTTTGGGTCTGAGTTACATTTATCTGGTTTTAGGATTGGTATGATTGTAGCAATCTTCCAGTTATTAGGGAATGTTTCCGAGTGCCAGATTTGGTTAAATAAATGTAAAATTGTTTGTTGTTCACCCTCTGCCAAATTTTTTATCATGCTATAAAGGATATTGTCATGGCCAGCAGCAGCTTCTTTACTATTTTGTAAGGCATATTTTAATTCCATCATTGTAAAAGATTGATTATAAGAGGCATCATGGTGTGAATTAAAGTCGAGGCCTGACCTTTCTTCGTCTGCTTTATACCTTAAGAAATGTTCGTCATAGCCTATAGATCTGCTAGCGATTTCATAGTGTTCTGCAAATTTCTCAGAAATTTGGTGGGGGTCCGTTATTAAGTCATCGTCAGATCGTAGTGCCTGAGGGATGTCAAAAGTATTTTTTCCTGATATTACTTTTATTTTCCTCCATATTTCGTTGAGTCCTACCTGGGGAGTAATCGTTGTTATATATTGCTCCCACGATGCTTTTTTTGATATATTAATTTGTCTTCTCGCTTGAGCCCTGGCCCTCTTGAATACAATTAGGTTTTCTTGTGTTGGGCATCTCTTGAATTTATGGTATGCTTTTTTTCGGTGAATAATTGCAGCTTTAACATCCTCATTCCACCATGGTACTGGTCGATGAGATACTGATGGCTTTGACAGAGGTATGCTTGTCTTAGCAGCATCTAAAATAGCTTTGGTGACAATTTCGACAGCTTCGTCTATATTATCTGGGAGATTAGGAATGTTGACACATTCCCTATATCTTCTCCAGTCGGCTTTATTAGTTAGCCATTTTTCTTTGATTTTAAATAATCTCGCCGGTATGTCAATATGGATAATTATAGGGAAATGATCACTTGAGTGAAGGTCGTTGAGGGTGTCCCATGTCAGCCTAGGGGCCAATTGTGGAGAACATAAGGAGATATCAATACACGATGTTTCGCCGGATCTTGCAATAAAATGTGTTGGTTTTCCATTGTTTAAAACTAATATATTATTATTTTCTATTACAGATTCCATATATCGACCTCGAGTATCCATTACTATAGATCCCCAAGATGGTGAGTGGGCGTTAAAGTCACCGACAATTATTAGAGGTTGTGGCAGTTGGTCTATAAGGTTCTGAATGTGTTGAGGTTGCCAGTTTCTATCAGGTAAGTAGATGTTACATATAGTAGTTTTCAATGGAGTCTCTATCTGTACTGCCTTAACTTGTAATTCTGTATTTAATTCTATTTCTTTTACAGGAACACTATTATGGATAAAGATAGCAACTCCTCCCCTAGCTCTTTGGAGAGGCTGAACATCCTTTCGAAAGCAATGAAATCCTCTGAAGCGAAATGGTTCATCAGGTTTTAAGTGGGTCTCCTGAAGCGCAATAATCAATGGTGAATGCTCGTTCTTGATTAATTGGAGTTCGTTGATGTGTTCTTTTAGACCATTGCAGTTCCATTGGATTATTGTGTTTTTATTATCCATTTAAAATTAATGTATATTATAAAAGTAGAATATGTATAAAAAAAAAATAATTAAAATATATGTATAAAAATAAATTAAAATATATTATGTATAAGTAAATAAATTTTATAATTAAAATATGTATAAATAAATAAATCTTATTTTTGTGATATATTACCCACGCTATCAGAATCCATCTGAAAAGGGGTATCGAGGGTGTTTATGGTACTCTCTACACTTGAAGATTTTCTGGGTTTGCCTCTTGGCCAACCCAATTTTTTTTTTCTTTCTTTTTGTTTGTGAGTTTGATGGCGTTTCACTCACTATTGATTCAATGTCAGAACTGTCAGATTTCCTTCTTTTTGAGATTGACTGTCTGTCTGATTCATCATAGGATCGGGCTATCGGGTAGGGTGGAAGATTATGGGGCGTAGCAGGGGGCGGTAAAAATAGGTGGCTGATAGCTTTGACAAGGTGGGGAATAAGGGATTGAACAAGATCGTTGATATTAATTGTTGCAGGCGCTGGTGGACGAATTGCTTGGGAGTAGCTAATATTGGGTCTAGGGGTTTTAGCAGCAACTTTTCTTTTAGCATCAAAATACGAGATATTTTCTTTAGCTTTTATTTCTTGGATAGCGAATTCCTGTTTATATATAGGGCAATCTTTAGATCTTGCTGAGTGAGTACCTTCACAATTAACACACCTAATGGGGGGTGTGCAGGGACTTCCTGTATGTAACGGTTTTCCACATATACAAACTTGGGGTTTTTCACATTTCACTGATGTGTGCCCAAATCGTTGGCAACGAAAACAACGTAGGGGAGCTGGCACGAACAGTCTGACGTTAAGTGAATAAAAGGCGACTTTCACATTTTTAGGTAGGATAGTGGTATTAAACGTAAGTACATGATTTGGCGTATCAACAAGTTGACCGTCTTTCTTAGATTTTATTCTATAAACAGCTATTACATTTTGGTTTACTAACTCTTCTTGTATTTCCTCGATTGTGCAATTTAAAAGATCCGGACAGTAAATTATTCCTTTTGAGTAATTCATTGTGTTATGTGGAAGTACTTCTACCTCCATATCACAAAATCTGGTTACACTTAACAATTTTCTAGCTTGTCCTGGAGACACAGTTTCAATAAGAAGACCGTCTTTTATTTTCCTAACCATCTTAGTTGCTCCACATATTCCATTCAGTGTTTTTTCGATTAGAAAAGGACTAACACATGCAAAATCTCCATCTTTCTTTTTCACGACCAGAAACCGGGGAAGAACCTCCTTTTCCTGGTTCGTGTTACTTTTGTCTCTATTTTGTGAGGGAGACACCTCAATAATATTTTTAGAATCTGAATTCATTTAGGTCCCACGAGTAGGGCAGAAAAAAATGGTCCACCGCAGCAGTGCTCCCTTACTACGGTAAGGCAAAATGCAAGTGAGTGTTGCCTGGTTCTCACAGGGAATCGTTCGAGACTAACTCCGTATAGCCATGCATCTCTCGGCACGATGTCTTACACCTTAGATTACGGATTTTTTCTAAGGTTTACTCCTTAATGCCAATTTTGGTTCGCGCCGGCTATTTGATTTGACCGGTACCACCCATATCTGGGAAGCTTTCCCCTATCCACCACCCGGGGACGCGCTGGATGGGAGATTGGCAACTCCACACCAGTATTATTATTATTATTATTATTATTATTATTATTATTATTATTATTATTATTATTATTATTATTATTATTATTATTATTATTATTATTATTATTATTATTATTATTATTATTATTATTATTATTATTATTATTATTATTATTATTATTATTATTATTATTATTATTATTATTATTATTATTATTATTATTATTATTATTATTATTATTATTATTATTATTATTAATTATTATTATTATTATTATTATTATTATTAATTATTATTATTATTATTATTATTATTATTATTATTATTATTATTATTATTATTATTATTATTATTATTATTATTATTATTATTATTATTATTATTATTAATATTATTATTATTATTATTATTATTATTATTATTATTATTTTTATTATTTTTTTTTTTTTTTTTTTTTTAATTTGGTGTCATCGGCGTCGACTACTACGGCCATTAGCCTCGTGTTCTGTGTAGGCTTTGTTACTGTTTCCCAGCGCCACTTTAGGAACAGCACTGTTAATTAGAACCCAACAGTGAATGGTCGAGTGGGGAATCCTACCAAGGCATCAGAATTAATTTTAAATAATTAAATTAAATGAAAAAATCCCGGCCAACGGTGGGATTCGATCCTGAGATCTTCCGATCTCAAAGTCATGACTCTAACCACTGAGCCAACCCACCCCTTTATTATTATTATTATTATTATTATTATTATTATTATTATTATTATTATTATTATTATTATTATTATTATTATTATTATTATTATTATTATTATTATTATTATTATTATTATTATTATTATTATTATTATTATTATTATTATTATTATTATTATTATTATTATTATTATTATTATTATTATTATTATTATTATTATTATTATTATTATTATTATTATTATTATTATTATTATTATTGTTATTATTATTATTATTATTATTATTATTATTATTATTATTATTATTATTATTATTATTATTATTATTATTTTTTTCGTTTGATTTCTGCTGAGTGACAACGTGTTTTAAAATTTGTGCAAGGTTATAACATAAAATTACAGGTTCTAGCTCGAAATAATTCATTAAAAAGAGTGCAACCTTTATAATAGTGTATAGTGCATATTATTTACTAAGAATAATAATGTGCCCTAAGTGTTTTACGTTATAATTGTGATTTGTTCTAATATCAACGTTTTATTGTGAGTATAAAAACTAATAAAAAACTTTTATCATCAACTCGAAGTCGATTGCCAGGTTCTTTCCACCGCGGTAAATATTTTTGTGACATTTTACTGAAATATTAGTTGGATTTTTCTTTATTTCGACTTAAATAATAATATTTTTATTTAAATTATGCGGAAAATTCTGCTGCCTGTGATGGTTCAAATATTTGTATTCGATGCAAAAATAAGGTTGGTACAGGGATTAGATGCATAAAATGTGGAACGTTATCTCATAAAAGCTGTCTAAATAAGTTGAAGACGGTAGTAATCATTGATAATTATACGTGTATTTGTTGCGAGGATACAGATAAGGTCGGAAATATTATGTTAAATAGAAGTCCCTCTGAATCTGATAATGAAAAACATATTGTCGAAAATTTTAATGCCGATGTTGAAATCTTTAAAGTCAAGCTAAAACACCTAGAAAATATCTTGAAAGAAAAGGACGATATAATCAAATATCAGGATATCGCAATCAAATCGCTAAATGATCAGATTGACCTAATGAAAAAGTTCAACCACATGCTTAATGCTCAAGATTCAATCCAACAGATACTACCTAAACAGCAAAGTAAATCTACAACTGGTCCTCCAAGACAACCGATGCTAAAAACACCGAACGTTACTTGCCAACCTAATAAAAATCCCATTAAAGTCCAAGAAGTTAACGCAGCTTTACAATCAGTAACTACTAAGCAATTGTGTGACAATTTCATAAATCTACAGAATGACACACTGCAAAGAACAACAAAACCAAAGAATATATTAATATATTGATAGGAAACGGCAGTTCTACGACTAAGTGCCCTTTCAAAGCAGCTCAAAAGATTGTCATGCGTCATTATCATGTAACCAATATGGAAGTGGACGTGGATGCTAATGAACTTAAACAATATCTTAAAAACTATGCTCCAGATGTTACTGTTTTTAAGTTGAATTCAAGAAATCCAAGTATGTATTCGTCTTTTAAGATATCAGCTCCTCCAAATCAAGCTGATAAATTACTGGATAGCGAAATCTGGCCCGATAAAGTAATACTAAATTATTTTTTTCCGTCAAAAAGACTTAATAACGGGGAATCAGTACATCAATCCCATTCAAACTCGGAAAAATAGTTTAACATTGTCAATTTTGCATGTAAATGTCCGAAGTCTTTGCAATAAAGTGAACGAGCTTCATGTTTTTCTAAATAACTTTTCATTTGATGTTTTATGTGTGTCTGAACACTGGCTGAATGACACTAATTTAAAGACAGTAAATATTAACAATTATCAGCTTGTTTCATTTTATTGTAGGGATGTAAGACAACACGGTGGTGTCGCAATATATGCCAAAAGCGGGATTCAGCTGAAAAGTGTCGAGGTCACAGATTTCTGTCGTCCTATTCATGCTGAGTTTTGCGGGGCAGAAGTTGTTGGTACCAAAATTTTTATATTAGCTATTTATAGATCTTCTAGTTATGGAGATCTTAGTATTTTTAAAATGTGCTTAATAAATTTGTTAGATTTTATTTTCAGGAAATATCAAAAGCTTATTTTACTAGGTGACTTTAATTTGGATTTTAATAGTAATAACGAATTTATATTTGATTTTAATAACTGCTTAAAGTCGTTTGGACTAGAGCATAATATTCACGTTCCCACAAGAATTACACCTACCACTCAAACATGTCTTGATAATATCATAACTAACTTGAACTCTAAAAACTTTACTGCCGGTGTAATTGATACGATGATAGCCGATCATCTTGGTATATATACGACAGTTAATACTGGAGTATGTGGGGATAATAACTGTAATAAATATTTAAAAAGATCAATCACTAATAAAACTATGAAACAATTTGTTGATTCTATAACTAAAATTATTTGCAATAAATCAGTATATGAAGATATGAATGCACCAGACTTGAGTGACCTTTTGCATAACACATTAGTCGAATGCGCGAATGAGTGTTTTCCTTTAAAAACCTTCTCAAAACGTTGTAACGATTTAAGTTGGTTTAATGATGAGCTTATATATAAGAGAAAAGAAATGCATTTTTGGCAAAATAAATTTAAATTCACAAACTCAGATTTGGATTGGCGTGAGTTTATACATATACGCAAGCAATATCGTACAGCATTAGCAAAGGCAAAACGAGAGTCATATGCTGAAGCAATTGAGACTTCAGATAATAAACCTAAAACAATATGGAAGATTGTAAATTATACAAGTAAATCTAAATCGTCAAATGAAAAAGCCACTACTCTCTCTTCGGATGCATTTAACATCTTTTTTTCCCAAATAGCCGAAGTTATTTCTAAGAGTATAGATACTAAGAGTGCTAACCCATTAGATTATTTAAAAAAGCAACCAAAACCCCAATTTTCTTTTTTCTTGTCACCTGTAATAGAAAATGATATGCGTGCGGCTATTCTAAGGTTGAAAAACTCCGCATGCCTTGATCACTATGGACTTAGCAGTCGTATGATCAAATCAGCAGTTGAAGTATTTGTCAGGCCCCTTACTATACTTATAAATAAATGTTTTCAAGAAGGCCACTGGCCAAATTCGTTAAAAATTTCTAAGGTATTGCCTCTCTTTAAAAAGGGTGATTTTGAATGTATAGATAATTACCGCCCTATCACGATTGTCCCTATTATATCCAAGATTTTTGAAATTATCGTTAAAAATAAATTAATTTCTTACTGGGAAAATAATAATTTATTTTCTCAATCACAATTTGGCTTCAGGCAAAAAAAATCCACAATCGAAGCGGTAACAGCATTGATTGAAGACGTAGTCGATGGAATTGATCAAAGGTACAACACACATGCCACTATGTGTGACCTAACCAAAGCCTTTGACTGCGTTGATGTTGAGTTGTTACTGATTAAATTGGACTACTATGGAATAAGGGGCAATAGCTTCGACCTACTAAAGTCCTACCTGACCGAGCGGGTGCAGTATGTAAGTCATGAGAATATTGATTCAGATATTTTACCTATTAAAAACGGTGTCCCACAAGGATCAGTCCTAGGACCTATCCTTTTCTTAATTTACATCAACGATTTACCAACAACACTCGACGCTTGTACCTGCATACTGTACGCTGATGATACAACCCTTCTTTCTAGGGGAAACACCGCTTTAAGTGAGAACGATCTAGACACTGCTAAAAGATGGTTCACTGCCAACAAGTTAAAACTTAATGAAAGTAAAACAACAAGAATATTATTTAGCGCGGATAAACATGCAAATAAATCTAAGCCAGTTAAATTGTTGGGT